CACTGACAGCTTCCCGGCTGTGACAAAGCTTAGGAAACAACAGCAGAGTCAGACTAACGGCCTTGCAATAGGAAGAACAAAACTGACCGCTCTCCAGTCCGAGCCTGAACACTGCACCTCCTGCATAGGGCACACCCTTATGGACCCGTGCACCCACAGACACAAGGACTGAACACCGCGCTCTACACAGCCTGGAGGAAAGTGAATCCAATTCAGAAGCTATGCTGCTCTGTCTCCACTGGGCCTATGAACTCAGACACAGCATGGCATTAACAGCTCGTTGTGGCTCTCAACCCACAAGTTCACTTATGCCAGTCACTTGAAGCACTGGCAAAGAGTTTCCATTTCTGTGCTCCCATGGAAGCAGACATACCCAAGGTTACTGGAGGGTCATGCAAAGACAATAACAAATGCTCTGAAGGAAACTACACCGAGACTGACTAATGATGTAGAAAACATCTACTGACAATCTCAGGACAATGAGCAAATGAAGGTTGTTTGGAAGGAAAAAAATGGGAGAATTTCTAGTAAAGATCCAAATTTTGTATGGACTTCTATTTTTCAGCTTTGTCTCCAGAGGTAGTAAAATTCAGCAAAAAATTAGTCTTTCATTTTGCAGATTAAATCATTTCATAGATTAAAACCCCAAATTAAAAGTCAACTTTAGCTTTCCACCAGCCACAGTAATTCTTTTCCCCTTCAGCATTTATGCCCTGATGTGATCACAAACATTATCCTCTTTCTGGAAACCTACTGCTTGATCAATATTGTTTTGCATTGTTGTAACTTCTGCTTTCCTGTGTGGGTCTGAGATTTAGAACCTGTGCAAACTCAGAGGTGACAGCCTGAACCATTCAATTAGTCCTGCCTATGCTATATTTTGCATGTCCACATTAGCATGACTGCATATCAAACACCACGGTTCCAGCTCATTGCAGTGCTCCAATACTGAAACCTCCCTGGCAAGGACTCACTCGTGTGAGGCTGCACAAGTAGTAAAAGACCCAGGATTTCCAACAGTCTTCTTGCCTGTGACAAAAGAACCCTGGAGGCCAGGAAAGCTCCTCTACAGAAACTTGGAATAGCCCTTTAACGTTTATCATGCCAATGCCACTAGCTGGAAAAGAAAGGCTTTTGCTGGAGATGTCTGGGGGCAAATATGATACTAATCAAATACTGCTGTAGCCTGAAATGACATAATCTAGCTAGGGACCAGAAGAGAGGAAAGGAAGCTCAAAAGAAAAGAAAAAAAAAAAAAGGAAGAAAACTTGAAAAGGAAACAAAAAAAATGGTACCATCTTTTATGCATATATTCTGTTGATAGATTGGTCCATTCCCCAGTTAGTGAGTGCAGATGATGGAAGTAAACAGTTTTCTGACAGTAAGAGACAGTCACTCCTGACTATGTTGGACAAAAGACCACATCCTCCTCCCTTGACTTTCACTTAGCTGGACTACATAAGGTGGACAGTTTCAGCTTCATCTTCCCTGCCAGATTCTCCAAGCCACTGATTATAGCAGTAAGTCCTTTTCTGCAAGTGTTAAGTTAACAAGGTGTATTGGGTTGGCATGGCAAGGTTTTGGTAGTGGGGGGGCTACAGGGGTGACTTCTGTATGAAGATGCTAGAAACTTCCCTCCATGTCCGATAGAGCCAATGCCAGCTGGCTCCAAGACGGACCTGCCGCTGGCCAAGGCTGAGCCCATCAGCAATGGTGGTAGTGCCTCTGTGATAACAAATTTAAGAAGAGGAAAAAACTGCTGCGCAACAGTAGCCGGAAGAAAGGAATGAGAATATGTGAGAGAAACAACTCTGCAGACACCAAGGTCAGTGAAGAAGGAGGGGGAGGAGATGCTCCAGGCGCCGCAGGCTGTCCTCCTGCAGCCCATGGAGGTCCACGATAGAGCAGATATCCACCTGCAGTCCGTGGAGGACCCCATGCCAGAGCAGGTGGATGTGTCCGAAGGAGTCTGTGACCCTGTGGGAAGCCCGCGCTGGAGCAGGCTCCTGGCAGGACATGTGAGCCCATGGAGAGAGGAGCCCATGCTGGAGCAGGTTTGCTGGCAGGACTTTTGACCTCATGGGAAGGACTCACATTGGAGAAGTTCGTGGAGGACTGGAGGACTTCCTACACTGGAGCAGGGGAAGAGAGTGAGGAGGAAGGAGCGACAAAGACAATGTGTGATGAACTGACCGCAACCCCCATTCCCCGTCCCCCTGTGCCGCTCGGGGGGAGGTAGAGAAATTGGGAGTGAAGTTGAGCCCGGGAAGAAGGGAGGCAGGGGGAAGGTGTTTTAAGGTTCATTTTTATTTCTCATTACCCTACTCTGATTTGATTGGCAATAAATTAAATTAATTTCTCCAAGTTGAGTCTGTTTTACCCATGACGGTAATAGGTGAGTGATCTCTCCCTGTCCTTATCTCGACCCATGAGCCTTTCATTATATTTTTTCTCCCCTGTCCAGCTGAGGAGGGGGAGTGATAGAGTGGCTTTGGTGGGCACCTGGCATCCAGCCAGGGTCAACCCACCACACCAGGTTAATCTATCTTGAAACTGGGTGACCAGAACTGGTAATGCATAAAGTCTTTGTCTCATATTTTTTAATGAGAAAAACCATACTGATTTTTCCTTCCCAGCTTCATTTGCAGTGTGTGTTATCAAACCCAGTGGGACTTACATACAGATGAAAGACTCTGTTGAATAAGAGCCAGACTGGATAAGGCTGGTGACTTACGCAACATTCTTTATTTTGGAATCTAAACTGTTAGATCTAATCTGAACTTGATGGAATTTCTATACTCTTATTAAAGCTCTCTCTTCTTTTAATCCTTACTATTCTGTATAGACATACACAACCCCTTACTCAAGACCACGAAGTGGCCTATCCAAACTGCCTTTCTAAAGGAAAATGCTAAGAGGAAAAAGTCTGATTTGTCTTTCTGCATAATGTTCTCTCTAAACAGGCAGATATGAAGCTACAATATTTTAGGGACAGAAGTAGAAAAGCATTTAAAAATTAAAAATCAAACCTAAAGGAGAATCTTAGGAGAGAGGGGACAATAGAAATGGGAAAACAATAAGGCAGTGGAAAAGCAAGGAAAGGTTAATGAAAGTGAACTAGGGGTTGTTTCTATGAGAAAATACATAGAGCCATGAAAACTGCGGGAGTAAAGAAATATTCAGGTACGTCCAGGTTCTCGCAGCTCCAAGGTTCCAGCTTACTAGTAGCAATAGAAAAGCTCTCTGAAAAACATGCTGGCTTTGGAGAGTAACTTTGTGTCAGATCATCTGTGGAACAAATCCAGGTAGTGTTTAAGTCAAATAAATTCGTATTTCACTACTGTCATACAAACACGGTAGAGTATGTTTCACTCACTAAAATACTATGTTACACATCATGCACCCCATTGTCTCAGTGATCTATGAAGTGCTTTCCAGGAATATAAATCTTGAAACCATATTCTTCCTTCCCCTCCACATTAGAAGATGCAATATTGACCTCGGTAGCCACATGCAAGAGTTCAATGACCAGTTCAGGCACAGGCTTCTCACCAGTAAGTTCCTCCAATTATGGCTTTAAAAATGTCTGTTGTTTTTAAATGATCACTAATGTGATCATTTATGTTCCTAGGATCACTAATGTTCCTTTCCCTTGAGGGACTTGGAGGATCTCCTGGGACATGAGGAAGCAGGAATGAACATGGAGACACATAGAGACTGTGGTGTGCAAGAGCTTGCTGTGGTTACAGCACACCCTCTTGGGCCCTGAGGAACTTCTATGCCTTTCATGAGGCTCTTCAGAGTACTCTCAGATCTTGGCCGATGGATGTCCAGGGGCCATGGCAGTGCAGAAAGTTAAGTACTGTGGCTGCATTTAGACAGAAAGGCAATGGGACAAACAGGAGCTGGAACAGGGTAGGGGAACATTGTCCACTAGTGGGTAGCAAAGTGTTTGAAGCCGCCTGGGGTGAGGAGATGTCATCTGTAACCAGGGGAGGGGGTGTCTACAGCCATGCTTTTAAACTTATTTTATATTTACGACCAATAATCGTATTGACCCTGCTTGCAAGTCACAATGAACAGCCCTAACTCATCCATTACACCCAAATTAGAGTCTCTACATTGCCAGTGCTGAGTGTGTAATCAATGTTCACCGTCATGGGTACCCTCTTCTCTCCCCACTGAGTGGGCAGGCAGATGGGCCAGCATTAGCAGCCTTCAAGGGCAGGCAGCATGAACTGCTCCTCACTCTCTCAAAAGTGGTGAGTCCTACCCAAGAAGATACACCCCTATATCCTTGCCAAGGGGAACCTGGAGTTCATACACCATGTCCAAGTGCCAGGCTAGGGAAGGGGCAGCATGAAACAAGTGTGAGCAGGAGATGGAGGAGAGATGCACGTGTTTTTCAACAAAAAACGCATTTGGCAGAAAACTGTAAACTTTCCTGTGTGAGACACTACGAATTATTGCTGGCTGATTTGAGACATAGCTGGATCGAGCTGAAGGAGGGCTTAGATAAGGAAACAATTTGAAAACAAGACTAGGTTTTTTTTGCTTTATTTACTTGCCTCCTTCTCCCTCTCTGAGTGAAAACACCACAAATAGCTTAAACTTAGAGGGGCAGTATTCTCATCCTTGCAAGCATAACTAGCAATTAATTATCTGCTCAAAGGAATGCTTTGGTCTCTAAAGCAATGTAATGTTTTCAAAAAGCTGTTTGTTGAGAAGCAATAATATATACACTAAATCTCTGGCATGTGTAGTTAGGGACACTAAATGCCTTCAACTCCAGACACGGTTCACAAAATGAGATTATAGCTGTGTTGTTGACTGTGTTTCAAAGAGACTACAGCAAATAAGAGTCCAAATCAGCACATTAGCAATGTGTCCAAAAATGGCAAGAAAAGCGAGTAAGCAGTAAAATAGCATCATAATAAGGTTTCTGCATTTCTTGGCCTAATGCAGATGGTGTTTCAAGTACACAAGTTTGGAGCACTTACCAGCAGGTGCGGTGGCAGTTTTTGGTGCTGGAAGTAAGCTCCTGCGTGGAGTCACTGTGCTGCTCGATACCTGCGTCGTGCTCTTGCTGCTCCCCTTGGGGATGTCTTTAGAAGGTGCAGATGCCTTAGGAGTGGTTTGCTCTTCATTTCCAAAGCTGGAACCTGCAGGAGACCAAAACTGCTCTAATTATAAGTTCATAAAAAATGTATGTGAACTGTGGCATACAGACTGAGCTTGTATCAGCAATTATAACCTACAAAGACATATTCTCATTGCAACTTGGTCTAAGTTACATGGACTTTCTCCAATATAAATGGTTATGTAGAAATAAAGAGTTCCCAGCAGCTCTAAGTCTTGGCAGCTGTTGGAGTCTGACTCCAACAGGAACTTAACACCTGCTTTTGGGCTAGCTCCCTAAAGCAGCCACCCTACACACTCACCCTAACACTTGGGAGTCGCTGGTTGTCAGAGTAAGGGGGAATAGCAGGGCTCAGTGGTGCAAGGCACTGAATTCTCCTACCCAGGAGGGATTTTCCACAAACAGTCCCTCAGACCACACTCAGACATTTGAATAGTAAGATGAAAAACAAAAAAAAAATTCTGCCTTAACTCTCACATCCACTTAAACCATATTCTCAAAATTAATCTTAGGTTGCCAAGGTTTCCAGTTTCATAGAATCATAGAATAGTTTGGGTTGGAAGGGACCTTTAAAGGCCATCTAGTCCAACCCCCCTGCAATGAGCAGGGACATCTTCAACTAGATCAGTTTGCTCAAAGCCCCGTCCAACCTGACCTTGAATGTTTCCAGGGATGGGGCATCCACCACTTCTCTGGGCAACCTGTTTATACTGACCTCTTTCAAAACCTCTAATGGGTTTGATTTCCTCCTGCATTTGCCATCTAGGAAATAATGACATCCTAGGCTCCTTGTAGATATAAGGAAATCAATCTTTTCTTAACACTTGAAAAAGGCAAAGTTGGAGTGTCTTCCTTATTGAGTAGAAAGCGTAAGAGAAGCAAAAGATTACAGCACATCTGGACTTGAACATTTGCAGAAGGATGAACATTTTGTTTGAAAATATGAGTGGAGATAGTGGCAAGAAATACATAGGATTTCAGCAAAGGGCTATAATTTTTATTTGCATTATTTTAGAAAGATACAATACAATACTATTTAGGTACTGCCTGCAGGAAAATGATAACATTATTTTAATAATTGGCACATCCAACTCTCCAGTATTTTTAAGATGTAGACTTCTTAAATGTGTGCAAGTAAAGGAGAGATTTTTTTTTTTTGCCTTTCATACTGAAAATCCACTAGGAAAAAAGTGTAGGTTGGAAAAGAAAATCCTCTTTTCTGATAAAGGAAGAATATACCTTTTGGCTCTGACAAAACAGTGTTAAGTTTTGCTGTGTCGTTAAGGCTGCTTGCATATAGGTCTTAATTTAAAGTGCGTATCTGCAGTACACATGGACTTCTACAAACACATTTGACCTTTGTTCAAGTAATAAGCCACATTAAAAATTCAAACAAAACAGTCTACTGTACACTATGCAGGAACAGGAAAACCTGAAGCATTTGTCGTCTTTACAGTGCTGTGCACATAACAACCCCTCAGCACATCAGGTCGTTGTTTGATATCCAAACTACATGGATTTTTCACCTGTGTAACAAACATTTAAGACTACGTGCTGATTCATCTGCTGACAAAACACTGCTGACTTCAGTAAAGTCACGTCAGCAGAACGTCTGGCCCAACCTGGCCCGGTCTCCTCTGCAGCTGTGCACGAGGACACCTCTACCAGGTGCCAGGGGGACGTTACAGCATGTGTGTCCACCTCAGTCCGTCTGCATCATGCTCCTGAAGTTACTCCTGAAGTGGTCTCAGATATGTGCTCACCCAGTCGGTTTGGGTAGCACCGCTTGTAGAAAATTTTTTCTTTCCTCGGCTATTTGTTTAAAAGTTTCAGTTGTAGAAATGCTAACCTTGAAGAGGAAATTATTCCTATTATTTGCAGAGAAATGCCATTCCGGTGCTCTTTAATTGAAACCCTTTATTCTCTATTGAGAAATGTATTATATGGAGAACGTTTCAACCCACAAATCTGGCCGAATGGAAGCAATTCCCGCGTTGAAGAAGGTGGTGTCCAGGGGAGTTACGTAACCTCTTATTAAAAAGAAAGTTAAAAAGCTCTTCTCAGTATTGAAGATGAAGCGCAGCCAGCTACAAACACTTCTACTGTCTAAAACACAGCATAAGAGGTCTGCTAATTACAGAAATGAGTGAGTGGGAAAGCTGACAAACATGACCTCATCAGGTCCCCTGAAACAGAAATGCCCGGTGCCTGGAGAGAGCCAGCCGTGCACCTCATGCCGTGGCTGGACAAACCCCTTCAGGACAAAAAAAAAAAAAAAAGGAAAAAATCAGTTCAGCTTTTCGTCTTTTAACAAGAAATGGACTCAGAGAGACAAGCCGCATCGCTGTACTGGGTGTCCGTGGCAAGGTGTTGGGGGCTGCAGGGGCAGCCTGTGTCAGGAGAGGCCGGCACTGCCCCGTGCCAGACACAGCTGGTTCCAGCTGGTTCCAGTCGGCTCCAACAGGCCCACTGCAGGAGACAGCTGGGACCATCAGCCAAGCTGGAGGCACCTCTGGGAAAATGTATTTAAGAAAGGGCAAAACACTGCCCTGCAGTGAGGAGTGAGGAAAAAGGTGTGAGAAACAGCCCTGCGAGCACCAGGGTCAGAGAAGAAGGAGGGGGAGGAGATCTTGCCCACAGCCCCTGGAGAAGACCATGGTGAAGCAGGTATTTCCCTGCATCTTGCGGAGAGGACCACAGTGGACCAGCTATCCACACTGCAGACCCCACACCAGAGCAGGTGGATGTGTCCTGAAGGAAGCTGCAGCCCGTGGAAAGCCCTTGCAGGAGCAGGCTCCTAGCAGGAGCTGTGGCCCCTGGAGAGGAGCCCACGCAGGAGCAGGTTTATCCTGAGGGACTGCAGCCTGTGGGAAGGATCCACGCTGGAGCAGGGAAAAGTGTGAGGAGGAAGAAGCGGCAGAGAGGAACCATTATGGACTGACTGCAACCCCCATTCCCCATCCCTCCAGCGCTGCTCAGTGGGGAGGTGGGATGGAGGAGGTAGAGGAGTTGGGAAGGAAGAAGTGAAGTTGAGCCCAGGAAAAAGGGGTGAGGGAGAGGCTGTTTCAGTTTTTTTGTCTTTGTTTCTCACCATTCAACTCTATTTTAACTGGAAAGATATTAAATACTTTTTCCCAAGTCAAGTCTGTTGAGCATGTGACAGTAATTGGTAAGTGATCTCCCTGTCTTTCTCTCTACCCATGAGCTTTTTCATCTTATTTTCTAACCTGTCCTGTTGAGGAGGGGTAGTAAGGGAGCGGCTGGGTGGGGGTCTGGCAGCCAGCCAAGGTCAACTCACCACAACAGCAATATCAATATATCCAGGATTTGCTGAGATAAGGTCAATGTTTAACAGAAGAGACGATATCTCCCACTTTGCTGTTCACTCGGAGATGGAGTTCGGAAAGAGAGATTAGGGTACAATAATATGTGCACATATAATATGCCCCAAAAAGCAAATGTTTGCTGCTTCCATGGATAACACTAGGGCAACATCTAGTTCCCCAGGAGCAGAGCAAGGTGAGCACCCCCTTGCTACACATGGTGCTGGATTCCACTTTTCTTTTCAAACAGCATTCAAAGAAGAAATGAAATTAAAGATCCAGAAAAATGCATATTCCTCATGAACTAAGAGGAAAATAAAGGTTTTCATTTACTCGGAGGAATTCATTTCTTGAAGGAAAATCAGAAAGATTATTCATCAGATGGTACTTGTCAGTCCATCATGAGATAATGCAATAATGCCTTCCACTATTATCTGCAGCGGGTGAGTCAGTAGCATCTGCCCTCCCAGAATACAGTTCTTATTTTTCAGTAAAAGCCTGTACAGAAACACCAGATGTGCGGTGTGTGAACAGTTTCCAGGTGATCACATCCTCTGTTGTATTGTACCTCTTCCCTCCTACTCCTCTACTTTTGCATTTTATCTAAACCAGGGGAGACTCCTTGCCTGCCTTTGAAGCACCTAGTAAGTCATTTGGGTGCTCCTACATAAAACACCCTGTAGTTTTGCAGACTCTGTGCTCTATGAAGAGCAACACTGCTGAATTTGCAGTGGGTTTTTTTGCCCTGGTTTCGGCAGGGATAGAGTTAATTTCCTTTCTAGTAGCTGGTACGGTGTTTTGGATTTAGGATGAGAACAAAGTTGATAACACACCGATGTTTTAGTTGTTGCTAGGTAATGCTTACACTAGCCAAGGACTTTTCAGCTGCCCATGCTCTACTGACTGAGAAGGCTGGAGGTGCACAAGAAGCTGGGAGGGGGCACAGCCAAACTGGCCAAAGGGACATGCCATACCATGTGACGTCATAGCAATTGTACTGTGCATCACTTGCTTTGTGTATTATTATTATTATCATATTATTATTATTATCATTTTATTTCAATTATTAAACTGTTTTTATCTCAACCCACGAGTTTTTCTCACTTGTGCTCTTCCAATTCTCTCCCCCATCCCACCGGGTGGGGGGACTGAGCGAGCGGCTGCATTGTGCTCAGTTGCCGACTGAGGTTAAACCACGACAGTATTGAACAGACTATTAACGATCCGCTGGAGCTAAAGGCCTTCAGCCTCACTTTTATCATCTCCTCGCTATGAGTGCCAAGGCATTCTACTCTTCTGCTTGTGAAAAAATACAGGGAAGAAGAAAAGGTGTTTGAAGACTTGCAAGTACTTTGGAGAGTCTCAGCTGCACCCCCTCATTCGCTACACTGTTATGCCGGTAAAGACATGTAGAAGTCAGGGCTGGCAACAGATTGTAGGCTGCGTGTTCAGCGAAAACCATGACCAAAATCCCACTGGCTCCCAGATGACTTGAGCCACCCTCTCTCTGTATCTGCCAACGTCCTCTTCACCATCTGACCCTGCCCTGCAGCAGCTCGTTTCAGGGGCCCCTCGCCCTCGGAAGAGGAAGGCTCTCTTGTATGTGTCACTAGGAGTTTGTGTCTCTTGTACGTGTTCCTTTTCTGGAATTATTTACAAAATTTACAAAAAGGCATGGAAATATGGTATGATATTACAT